CGAATGCCATTCTCGTTTTATTGAACCTATTACTTATGTCTGTTTCTGCGCCGCTAAAGATGTTAATTCTCATGGCTTTGGTTTTCTTGATATTTATCTCAAGTTCAACATTGCGTGTTAAGCTCTTCAAATCCTCTAATTTCGACTGCAAGTTGGAGAGTAGGCAAATATCATCCGATATCCTTCGAAGTTGGCATAAGAGACTCCGTGTTATTTCTCTTCCCACTGAACAGACTTCGGTCACGATGGCGATTAGTTGAGGTGATAGGCGGCATGCTGCTAACTACTTCTTGTTATCGTTATTCTGAAGTTGTTGTAGGTAGAACCGTTTTCGTCTTGTGTGACTGGTTGTATGTTTTTATCATTTCAGTTTGATCTTGATATTTCCTGTGATGGGCTCTCGATCACTACCGATGTCGGCACCTCTTCTGTTCTTGCCAGTTTCACCATCTTCTGCTCACGCAAATGTGATCAATCTGATTGGGTGAGTTGCAATTAGGTGATGCCCACGTACATATATTTGTGAATCTCTTTATGCGGAAAGAAGGGAGCCATCTATGATGAGCTGAAATTTATGGAACAGTTCATTTAAACGCTCTACATTGCTGTTCTTAACACCACAACCGTGCGTTCCAATGATAGTGCTGATGTTGGTGTTGTCACTAACTATCTTTGCATTGAAGTCATCCATAATAATTATAATATCCACTTATATGCATAAAATTTACGCATTTCCTTTCATGTTGGGACATAATGGACTATAGTAATTGTATTACTTTACTCTTGAAGCTCGATGTGATATAGGTTTGCAATTTGAAAGGATTTCATTTTCACAGCCACTGCCTAGAAACAGCGTGAACCATAACCACTGCAGATAACAGTATTACCAGCTCACTCACACCGGACTTCGTTCTTACATGATGACATATTAGATGTTCTTTGTCATCGTAGGACGACGGGGTTGACATCTGTCATTGCTCAGAAACTTTGCCTTCCATTGTTTCTAACTTCTTTAAGGTTGAAGTTAATTTTGTACCAATATTGCAAACAAATTTAGTTAATTCTCTTGAAGGTATTTTCCATATGAAGGCACTGTATGAAGTGGATTTCCGGTGCTCTAAGAACAACAGCCTCAAAGGTTCTCAACTGGTCAACCAACATATAGCAATTTGCATTGCTGCCAGATAGAATTTAACTGGGAAATGGAACGCTCCAAAGTCATTGATTTTCTGTTGAGTCCCCACAAGGTCGTTGATTATTATATCCTAGAACCAATACCATATCTCTACGGAGTCTCAAGAATCACTTCATCTGTTGAATAGTTGTTTCTGCGTGGAGGAGTTGGTGGTAACATCTTTATTGTAGAATTTGGGACTAAAATCACTTTTAGACTCATTGATGATTATAATGTCCTTCAAGCTGAAATATTAGCAATCAAAAGGGCGTCGAGTTAGACAAGCTACTATCAAGTCTCAAGAATCGCTCAATCCGTTGAATAGTTGTTTCCACGTGGATCCAAGACAACGAAAGGGGTTTGTGATAACATCTTCATTGAAGAATTTGGGACACTTTTAAATTCATTGATGATTGTAGTATCCTTCAAGCTCAAATATCAGCGATCAAGAGGATGTCGAATTAGCCAAGGTTTTTATACCGACAGTCAAACTGCTATTAAATCCCTTATTGATGTGTTTCCTCATCTAAACTTGTCCATGAATGCCGGACATCTCCCAATGAGAGGGCGAGACATTCAAACATTAACCTTATATGGGTCAAAGGACACGGGACTAAATATGGCAATAATTTCAACCCACGTATAACTACCTATCGTCTTGGTCTTCAAAGATTACAATTAGGTAGGTATGGCATCATTCATTACCGGTCTTTGTATATTTGGTAACCTTGTTAGACGCATTGGTCTTCCATATAATGACTCCTATAGAAGTTGTTAGAATGAGGATGAAGATCAGACAGTACCTAGTCCATATTCTCCGTAGCTGCTCGAAACTGAAGTTTAGATTCGACCTACTTCAATAATCTTTTGGATCTATCGAATGTTCAATTAGAACGATTTGTCTCAGTTTTGAATTTGTCAAAATCAGTGTAAACTTCAACTTCTCACCAGTCTGGATGTTATCTTCAATTTACGCCTCTCATCCAGTGACATGACTTTTGTTTCTCTCTCTTTTCCATCATTTTGTCACTTCTATCTCTCTTTTCATTATGTCTATTCTTTCTTGAATTTGAGTAATGCTGCATTTGTCAACATGCCAATACCTAACCTGCATTACGGTAAACTTTAAGTTGCAGTAATATTTTCAAAATCGAATCCTCTTTCTCTTTAGAGAGACAACTCCCCAAATTACATTTAAATATCTGTAACTAATTTCAAATATATGTTAAAACATTTAGAGGATTCCGAAATAATTTCCTTTAATAAAACCTTTTCAAAATGCTTTAATTATTAAAACATCGAAATGCTCTTTAAATAAAGTATGACAAATTCGTCTTGGACGTTTAACTGTAAATGATAAAAACACTCGTGAATTGAATAAATATCCCTTTGTATGGAAAAATGAAGAATGCATACACAGCCAGCAGACAGAATTTTATTGATAATTTATGTTTTTGAGAAAGAAAAAAAAACAACAATAATGATACACAGAATATGCAGCCTGCTGCTGCTGAATGTAACTGCAGGCAGTCAGTCATGCATGCAACAAATTCTTGTAAATGGTGGCGCTATTTCTGTTGCTGTTGCATATTTACACACATGTATGCGTTATAGAACTCCCTGTAGCCAGTAACACTTATTTGTTTCACCCTTAATGGCAACAGCAGTCATAGGGAAAGGGAAACAATATAGGAAATTTAAAATTTCATTTTAAATGTCTACAATTTGTGCTGAAATTGCGTGCAAGACGCGTGTGAAAACAAAACATATACTCGCACAATATAATTTTCAATTTTAATTTCATTTTATTTACTCCCTTTTTATGTGGATTTTTCCAAAAACAAAAATCCCTTAAATAAACATATAGCAAATTTGCTTTAAAAATTTCAAAATATTACTAGCTGTCAGCCAAACAGACAGACAGACAGATAGCCAATCCATACGTATTGGTTGCTGAGCCTATTGCTTTGGCAGTCACTGTGTTGCAATTAAAGTGCTTGCAACCCAATAACATGTTACTAGTACCACCAAATAACTAAATATCATGCCACAAGTTGAATGTGTGTGTGTGTGTCTGTAAGTAACGCTTATAAAACTGCATACGTCATGATTTAAGTGTATAATTTCCATAATAAAAAAAATAGAAAAATGAAAATAAAATTATGTATGTTTAATTTACAATTGCTTTAGGTTCAGCATGATACATTTATAGAGTCGATTCTATTAGCTGAGTATCTGTTGGAATTGTTGTTTTTTTTTTTCATATTTCTAAAGTTACAATCAATTTGTTGTATTATTTATTAGGTTCACAGTGGGATACGGGAGATTACAAATGATAAACTATTGTTTTGGAATTACATACCCACATAATTGATAAGATACTACTAAAATAGGGATATTTGATATTGAATTGCTTTTGGTATGAGAATTTATATATACAAATCTCTAAATTGAGGAGACATACATCCCCATTTGAATATAATTCTCTAATAAACATGAATTAGAAACTGAACTAGAACTTAACTAGAACTGAACTAGAACTGAACTAGAACTGAACTAGAACTGAACTAGAACTGAACTAGAACTGAACTAGAACTGAACTAGAACTAGAACTGAACTAGAACTGAACTAGAACTGAACTAGAACTGAACTAGAACTGAACTAGAACTGAACTAGAACTGAACTAGAACTGAACTAGAACTGAACTAGAACTGAACTAGAACTGAACTAGAACTGAACTAGAACTGAACTAGAACTGAACTAGAACTGAACTAGAACTGAACTAGAACTGAACTAGAACTGAACTAGAACTGAACTAGAACTGAACTAGAACTGAACTAGAACTGAACTAGAACTGAACTAGAACTGAACTAGAACTGAACTAGAACTGAACTAGAACTGAACTAGAACTAGAACTGAACTAGAACTGAACCAGAACTGAACAATGTTAAGTGCTCGAGAAATCTAACTCAACTTGATATTCTTCAGATTACACAATATTGATACACCGAAATATTGAATACATTTCTGTATATTTAATTAAGACGTTATTTAAATTCAAGTCATTAAAAAGTAACTTATCTTATAAAATAATCGTTTGTGAAGCACTTGTTTTTTAAAATTTAAAATTTTCAACAATCAATTTATTTCCCCCAACTTTACAAATTCATTTGAATAGTTAATTCTATTTAAATAATTAAATTTATTTCCTCCAGCCAAATGAACAATTCTTGATCTCGGCTCAGCCGGATATAATCTTTAATTGTGTGTATTAAATTTTAGTAGTTATTCAAGCATGATCCAACCAACAACCCCTTTTTGGGAAAAGACGCGTGCCGCACATGAATGGAATTAAAGAAGAAATAACTACAAAAACAAAGGAAGTTTAAAACACACATTCTACCAGCAGTTGTTTGATAAAAGGGATAGAAAGGTCAGGGAACCTTTAATTTCTTATATTTTTTTATTTGTTACGAGTAGTTTTGATTGTATAACATTTAAAAAGTTTTGTTTAGTATTTTGTTGTAACAATGAATTATTGGTTAGTGCCAAAGAAAGACGATTGAAGTGAAAAATAAAGATGATTCATTTTTAAAATACTTGTAAAAATGTTTGTAAATTTTTTTTACGGAAGTATGATGGGGTATTCTTAACAGTTGTTTAATATGTGTGGAAAGAGAATTTTTAAGAATTTCTTTGTTAAAGAAAATTTGTGGGTTTTTGTTTAACTTGGTTTTTAAAATTTAAGGAAAGTTGATGTTATTTTAATTTCTAAATATTTTGAAATAAAATCTAATTCGTGCTTTTACTTTTCTTCTATTTACAGGTTCGTTATCCAACCTATATATTATTAAATGACATCAATTTTGTAAGTATATATTAACTTATAAAAGTAAAATCTCAAGATATTTTCACTATAACTATTCGTATGTTACTAGTTCAGTTCTAGTTCAGTTCTAGTTCAGTTCTAGTTCTAGTTCAGTTCTAGTTCAGTTCTAGTTCAGTTCTAGTTCAGTTCTAGTTCAGTTCTAGTTCAGTTCTAGTTCAGTTCTAGTTCAGTTCTAGTTCCGTTCTAGTTCAGTTCTAGTTCAGTTCTAGTTCAGTTCTAGTTCAGTTCTAGTTCAGTTCTAGTTCAGTTCTAGTTCAGTTCTAGTTCAGTTCTAGTTCAGTTCTAGTTCAGTTCTAGTTCAGTTCTAGTTCAGTTCTAGTTCAGTTCGAGTTCAGTTCTAGTTCAGTTCTAGTTCAGTTCTAGTTCAGTTCTAGTTCAGTTCTAGTTCAGTTCTAGTTCAGTTCTAGTTCAGTTCTAGTTCAGTTCTAGTTCAGTTCTAGTTCAGTTCTAGTTCAGTTCTAGTTCAGTTCTAGTTCAGTTCTAGTTCAGTTCTAGTTCAGTTCTAGTTCAGTTCTAGTTCAGTTCTAGTTCAGTTCTAGTTAGTTCAGTTCTAGTTCAGTTCTAGTTCAGTTCTAGTTCAGTTCTAGTTCAGTTCTAGTTCAGTTCTAGTTCAGTTCTAGTTCAGTTCTAGTTCAGTTCTAGTTCAGTTCTAGTTCAGTTCTAGTTCAGTTCTAGTTCAGTTCTAGTTCCGTTCTAGGTTCAGTTCTAGTTCAGTTCTAGTTCAGTTCTAGTTCAGTTCTAGTTCAGTTCAGTTCTAGTTCAGTTCTAGTTCAGTTTCTAGTTCAGTTCTAGTTCAGTTCTAGTTCCGTTCTAGTTCAGTTCTAGTTCAGTTCTAGTTCCGTTCTAGTTCAGTTCTAGTTCAGTTCTAGTTCAGTTCTAGTTCAGTTCTAGTTCAGTTCTAGTTCAGTTCTAGTTCAGTTCTAGTTCAGTTCTAGTTCAGTTCTAGTTCAGTTCTAGTTCAGTTCTAGTTCAGTTCTAGTTCAGTTCTAGTTCAGTTTCTAGTTCAGTTCTAGTTCAGTTCTAGTTCAGTTCTAGTTCAGTTCTAGTTCAGTTCTAGTTCAGTTCTAGTTCAGTTCTAGTTCAGTTCTAGTTCAGTTCTAGTTCAGTTCTAGTTCAGTTCTAGTTCAGTTCTAGTTCAGTTCTAGTTCAGTTCTAGTTCAGTTCTAGTTCAGTTCTAGTTCAGTTCTAGTTCAGTTCTAGTTCAGTTCTAGTTCAGTTCTAGTTCAGTTCTAGTTCAGTTCTAGTTCAGTTCTAGTTTCAGTTCTAGTTCAGTTATAGTTCAGTTCTCGTTCAGTTCTAGTTCAGTCTAGTTCAGTTCTAGTTCGTTCTAGTTTAGTTCTAGTTCAGTTCTAGTTCAGTTCTAGTTCAGTTCTAGTTCAGTTCTAGTTCAGTTCTAGTTCAGTTCTAGTTCAGTTCTAGTTCAGTTCTAGTCAGTTCTAGTTCAGTTCTAGTCAGTTCTAGTTCAGTTCTAGTTAGTTCTAGTTCTAGTTCAGTTCTAGTTCAGTTCTAGTTCAGTTCTAGTTCAGTTCTAGTTCAGTTCTAGTTCAGTTCTAGTTCAGTTCTAGTTCAGTTTCTAGTTCAGTTTTAGTTCAGTTCTAGTTCAGTTTCTAGTTCAGTTCTAGTTCAGATCTTCAACATCAGTGTCGTAATGTTTAACCTAATTAACTTCTTTATCTTCACGTTCGCAAAAAATAAAACTACCACAATTTCAACAACTTTTCCAATGACACGATTTTTTGCCTCCCATTAAATATTACTCAAACAACTCTTAAAGTTTTTATCCCATTGCGGTTTAAATGATCTTTCAAAATCTATTTAATACTTTTGAAATTATTTCTTAATGTCACATTTTCCCATGTACGTAATATTTTACTTACATGAGACTACATTTTCCAGCATAGCGACAACTAAAGTTTTGAAAAATGCCTTTTCTTTCCCATAGAAAACGCCTACACACAGGCTGTTCGTTATTACAAACCTCCCAGCCCCGGCTGCCTGTGGTCGTCTGTTTGTAAATTGATAAGTTTTGTGGTAATTTGTGGGGTAAATTTGCCATGTGTGTGTTTGTTTTGTGCCTTTTTCTATATTTGCGATTTCTCTGCTCTAAACAATTTAAGCGTTTTAAAAGTGGTTTTACATTTAAGTGGGAATTATTTTTTTGTGCTATTTGTTGTAGGATTTTCATATTTCATAATTTTTGTAGCTGAATTAAACAATTTGTTTTTGTTGATTTTTTCATTATAATTTTTCTTTTCCTGTTACGAAATATTTATAATAATTTTTATTTTTTCTAAAATTTTTATAAATTTGAAAGTTTCCTCTGTTCAAACTTTTATTGCTTCAAGTTGTTCGTTCGTTCATACAATAAAAATTTTCTTTTATGACTTCTAATGCACATCTTTTGGCAATTTCTCTACATGATGATGCTCTATACAGGAATGCGTATATGTTTTGCAAATAACAAAATAAATTTGCACAAAAATAAAAACTAAAAATTGTCTTCTTTAGTTTTTATATGTATAACAAATTTTTTCCGCCTGATAGTTTTCGGAAGTATTTGACAAGTTTTGCTAGTTTGTTGAAATTTCAATTAAAGAATTTAAGCAAAAAAAAAAAGTAGAGAAACCTACTAAAAACAACTTTAATTCTACGAAAAAAAATATTTATTTGATTGCACTGCACTGCTGTGGAGCGACAAGAAGAAAATTTTAATTTATAGCTTAGAGTGAGAGTCAGTCAGAAAAAAGTTTTTTATATTAGAAGCAAGCAGGGCAAAAGTTTCAGTATCATTTATTTATTAAGAAAAAAGCATCAGTATTGTTAGGGGTTATAAGCCTACCATATATAGACAAGAAATGACACATCATTGACTTTAAGATTTGGTCCTTCGAACCAAGTTGTATTATTTGTCTATTTTCTATTTACTTTTCGTATCTAGTTCTGTTTTAGTTCAGTTCTAGTGCTGTTCTGTTCTAGTTCTGTTCTAGTTCTGTGCTAGTTCTGTTCTAGTTCTGTTCTAGTTCGTTCTAGTTCTGTTCTAGTTCTGTTCTAGTTCTGTTCTAGTTCTGTTCTAGTTCTGTTCTAGTTCTGTTCTAGTTCTGTTCTAGTTCTGTTCTAGTTCTGTTCTAGTTCTGTTCTAGTTTTGTTCTAGTTCTGTTCTAGTTCTGTTCTAGTTCTGCTCTAGTTCTGTTCTAGTTCTAGTTCTGTTCTAGTTCTGTTCTAGTTCTGTTCTAGTTCTGTTCTAGTTCTGTTCTAGTTCTGTTCTAGTTCTGTTCTAGTTCTGTTCTTTCTGTTCTAGTTCTGTTCTAGTTCTGTTCTAGTTCTGTTCTAGTTCTGT